ATTCGGAAGCTAGGGAGTGAAACAGTCCTCATATCGCATGTGACCTGACGATGTTGCAAGATCATGCAAGTATGGTTTACATAGATGAAACCACCTAGTCCTTGAGGACAATTGTATATGTTACTCCATGTGCAATTGAAACACTTGCAATACCACCACGGTGTGTGTGTGTGTGTGTGAGTGTAAGGCACTCTCCGAACGCCCACTTTTCACGGCAACCACCTTTTCCGATTGGTCATGTGTAAGCCTGTGAAAGCCACAGCACATTGAGACGGGCATATTGTACGTTAACTTGAAGCTCCGATTGCTGGCTACCTTTGATTGTTTTCGTTGTTTGTTACGCCTGTGCCGGAAGCACAGATTGTTGAGGTATTGTACGTGGTTGTTTTCAATTATTTGTCCTAGTACCGTATTTCAGTTCCGGTTTTGTTTTGTTGAAACCGGTGGAAACGCGTTCACTCAAGACTTCCAACCGAATTGTCGTTTACAGTTACTCTGCCAACGAATATCTGTCTGTCTCTTGATGTATACCTGTGGATGTGACGGGGTCTTGGTAAACAACTGAATTAGATTTACAAGCTATTACGGAGCAAATTCTTCCAAAGGCACACTTGCTACCAGAAGCCGGACTAAAATCATCGGTGATGGTATTCTGTCGGCCAAGGATATACTAAATGTAAGTGGACAGAACAAGGGAACAGTGGATCATTCTGGACGAAACGATTTGTGCAATTCTTTTGTCGTTTCTTAGGAACGAGCTAAGGGGGTTGTGATAAGAAATGATGCACACACAAACACGAACGCACGCACGCTTGCACTTCGACGTCGGCCGAGGTGACACAGGATTCACCAGTGATCAACGGGAGTCGTTCGTTCATCCTGGTGACGGTAATGTCGCGAGGGTGATGGTAATCTCTTATTGTTTGCAATAGTTGATGCTGCGTCGTAGCTGACATCAGATCTAGCCGAAAATAAATGTTTATTTCGCGTAATACACCCAACCAGAGGAGCTGCGCAACTCTAAGATCTTGATAAAAATATTTTGTCACCGGTGTCATTTGTGGATAAGATAGGCAGTTGCATTTTGACTCCTAACTTCGACTGTATATTTTGACCTTTATGCAGTTTCATCTTGATTTATTATTAACATTTCAACTATTTTGGGAATGTCCTTCAATATATGTCAGACTACTGCACTTCGTTGCAAGAACCAAGGTTGGGCAACTGAAGTTAAGAGATTCTACGTGATTTATAAAAGCAGGTTGCATAAGTGCAGAACTGCATCATCGAAAATGAGTGACATGCCACTTACAACAACTTTTAAATAGTCGGTGATAAACTTGAATAAAACACGGTAAAACCTGAGGCACACTACCCCAGTAGGTCTTATCTATTTTTGTAGATGGTGTATTTCAGTACGCAATAGTTCTAACTGGTGAATGGAAAAAGCTGTTTTGATTGGCCTGAATGAATTTCGATACAAGATGAACCGTTACGGTAAACCTTACTAGTTACAACCCAAATCCTCAGTCGACATTCCGAAGCTTAACACTGCGGTCATGTTGCTTCACTCAAAATACACGACAAGTAAGCAAATGTTTCTCAGACGCCTGATGGTTTGCATGCCCAGAGTACCAAGACGAATTGTCAAAATCAAGAGGGATCCGTGTTTTCCATTGGATACAAATTAACTGAGCGGGCAGTTCAAAACACGGACAATTTTCTTCACTTATCACCGCATTCTGCTACATAATTCGTCGCAGTTTCACAAGCTTCTTATGGTAACTGATAGGTCAATAACTTTATACGTGATCATTATCGTGTCACTATGGAAGGAGGTTAACTGGCAAAGTAGTCCACTTCCAAGTTGAATTAAACGCTATATGAGTTTTCATTATGAGAAGACAAGCAGTCGTTCCAATTTGCTTTCATTTTCCGTAGATGTAATACGACGTAAAAGCAGTTTACATCCTAATTCCGTCAGGTATGATTGCTCCCCTATCCATTATAAATTAATTGGCACATAATGTATATTCTCGTCAGAAAAGTGTTTATCGGAACAAAGTGTTTGCTGTCGTTATATCTACTATATATCCCTTAAGATGCTAATTTTTTTCGGTCGCTTGGTTATGGGATGAAATGTTGCTTATTTTAATTGCTTCCAAATAGCTTGGACTAGCCTGACTTTTGTTTCTTATGCATTTTCGACCATAGTCAAAGGTTGGTTGTCGTCAGAAGCGCGAAGCATGATATAAGGTTATTGCATTGCTTCAAGAGGGCGAAACTGTATTACCTGTTTTACAATTTACGCATTCTGAATAAACTTCAAATAAACAACGTTTCTGGTTCCTTAAGCTTTCTCCTGTTAGTAAAATCCAAGAAGGGGTCCTAACTCAATCGCTCTTTGTAAGTTTCAAGCACCGCATCATAAACTTTGGGTGAAATGCTCTTTGTGCGCTCTTGAAAAACCGACATGATGATGACTTGGTCAACGATAGCACATCTGCCTCTTATAGAAAGAGAACATGCTTGGTTGACGCAGTGACTCATTTGAATTGATGTGACCCACATGCGTATTGTGCCGCTTGGGTGTGTATAATCTTCTGAGACTAATGTTCTGACTGTGCATATCATTCGACTATGTAGATCAATCGACCTAACTGCAGCAAAGATATATGCAACTAGCATTGAAAGAACCATCTTAATTACAAGATAGTTTCCACTATATTTAGTCGCATAAGCAGATTCCCTTTACGAGGGCGCTCTTAAAACAAACAAGCAGGTGTTGTGCGGTTACTAATTTTCAACCATGACGCAATTGTCAACATGGTTGCGGTGCTCAATTTCTAATATGTTACGAGAACATTGTCGAAACTGACTCTCAGTTTGCATATCAGTCGGGTCATTGTGACGAATGATGAGACAAGACTCATAATAGTTGCGATGGTGAACATCTGTACAGAAGCAGAGATCCGCCACCTTTCGCTGTGAATTGCATCAGATGCACCTGATTTAAGCAATGAAATTCTGAAACATATAGTGGACTAACTAATCATCACATAGAAGCCAAAATTCCAGGTGTGCTAGACATAGAGTACGTGACCTGGACAAACCGCTGCACCGGTCAGTCAGGCTGTGTTTTGTATGATTCGCACCAGATCTTATTAGAACAAACCGTTTTTCAAATAGATCAGATGCCGTTATTGAATTTCGCACCTAAATAGTCTACCTACTTTACTTAAAACCTTTGTTTGTTCTGACCCATAATTTCAGTGGACGAACCTGCGGCTACCAAGACTTTGCTGGTTACAAGGACTGGATGGTTCCGTAATCCCTGTCGATGAGCTAGCTAATAGAGAGGTAAGCGGAGCCAGTGTCCAGATACGAGGTCGCGCACAGGCTTACCGCGGAGCACACGGGCTGTCTGCTACATGCGAAGGTCAAGAGCACGAGCGTGGAATGACCGACTGTTTTGTCAAACTTGGGAATCGGGTGCAAACTGAGTGGCCAGCAAATACAAGCCCGAGTCAGCAGAGGCGGATCATTCTGCCAAATATGGAAAATCCGTGGGACGGAATTAACTCACATTGGCTCAGAGCCAAACGCTTCCAAAATTGGTAAGTTCCGTTCACCAGTACATAGAACTGACATATCGTGTAGAATAGACTCCCTGTTTACCGAGTCTTGGCCTTCAATATCCCATCGGTTGATTGGGCGCGTGACTGCGCAATCAGGCTGTAGTAGTCTCGCAGGCGCAGAATAGCAGCAGTGCACCAGTACGAGGGCAGCTTTAAAACACTAGCCACCCCGGGAGGCAGAATAA